AAAAAAAAAAAAAAAGAATTGTCCCTTCTCCCCCGTTTATTTACATATTCAATTATTTATTGATACGAGCATGGGCTCAAAGATATTTATTCTTTTGATCATAGTCCAATATTATTATTATTTGGTTGTTCAGGTTGTTCCAATTTGGCCACTGGGAGCTCTTTCACAAGTTGGCCTCTGTGCCCTTTCTACACGCTCTCACCCTTTCTTTTTGAGCACTTCCTACTTCGTGGCATCACAAGATATTCCAGGCTCAGCTTGTAAATTCTCTGTCCTAGTTCTGGGAACCAATCACTTCTATAAGGCTTGGTTCCTTTCATTGGAGAATGGTGTTTAGAAACCAAGATCTAGGTGCTGGGTATGCCCATTGTTACTGGGGTGTCACTGCTTCTGGTCCAAGTGGATAAAGCAAGGAAATATAAACATACATATCTGCATTTCTGCATGTCTGTATACATACTAAACTAAAAAGTTTAGTTTTTAGTATGAGTCCATACTGATGCCTCCAACTCTAATCCAGCCTCACAGGGTTTATTCTAGCTACCTCCTTTCATCCCACCTTGTTTTCTTTGTACCTTCTTCCTCTAGCAGTGAGAAATCTGGTTCTATCTACGGTATATTTACCCGTTCATTCAACCGTGTGTGTGTGTGTGTGTGTGTGTGTGTGTGTGGTTATGTATGTACAAAAGTAGTTCCAGAATTGCTTAATCATAATGCTGTGAGGAATTTATTTGAGTACAGGGTTTATGTATAATTCTTTTTTATCTTTAGCCTTACAGTATCCAGTTAAAATACTTTTTCCAGGGGTGCCTGGGTGGCTCAGTCATTAAGCGTCTGCCTTTAGCTCAGGTCATGATCCCAGGGTCCTCGGATCGAGCCCCACATCGGACTCCTTGCTCAGCAGGGAGCCTGCTTCTCCCTCTCCCTCTGCCTGCTGCTTCCCCTGCTTGTACACTCTGTCAAAAATAAATAAAATCTTAAAAAAAAAAAACTTTTTCCAAAGTTACTTAGGTTAGCTCCTTTCTTCCCAACCCCTTTTGGTGTGGTCATGTGATTCACTTACAATACAGGCAAATTCATTTGACAGCCTGCATTCCATCTTTCTTCCTACATCCTGGTTGACAAAAGCAAAGTCCTTCATCCACCACTACAGTTCTACACAGGGGCGTGCCATCATCACAAAAACCCCTCCATACTTCCTTTTTACGTAAAAAAAGCAAAACAAGCAAGTACCAATAAACTAATGAAAAGGAATGAGACAATTTATATGGAAAGGTGAAAAATAAAGCATAAAAAAGCAAGCTACTGGGGTGCCTGGCTGGCTTGGTCGGTGGAAAATGTGATTTGATCTTGGGGTCATGAGTTCAAGTCCCACATTGGG